GCTCCTTGGAAGAAACGGAGCAGCAGATACATATAGCAGAGTCCCAGGTCTCTGTTACTACGAAATCCCAAATGGTTGTTGGGGTTGCTATTAGTGGTTAAAGATTGGATTATGATGTTTTTATAATGTGAACTCTATGTATATATTACTTTTCTTTTATGTATAATATATGTATGCCCTGCATAGCGCTCTATATAATTTATTATATTACGCCCTATGCCATCATGTAAATTTGATGTTTGATTGAACATAAATGTATGATGGAGGGTTTATTTGGGATGGCTGTAAAATTTTACAAAATTGATTATAAAGTTGTTTTAAGGAAAACAACTTAGGCTTCGTTTGGGACAACTTTTTTACTGCTTCTAAAAACAGCTTTCTTGTGCAAAAATTTTATTTTTTGTACTAAAAAGCTGCTTTAAGAAGCAATAAGAAAGCCGTCCCAAACAAAGCCTTAATCATTCTGATTAGAAAAAGCAACTTTCTATAACAAATGATAGCACATGCTAAATATTAAGTTGGTTGTTGGGCTGCAACTTCCGACATCCTCCAAACTGATTTTCATCTTCATAGTCTATTCTTCTCTTTTCTTTTTCATCTCTTCTGAGGAGAAGTCCTGTCTTAGGTGGCAAAAATAGTCCGCCAATATTACAAACCCTAAAAATTGGTGCATTTTTTTTTTCGATTTTCGCGTGTGGTTCGGGTCTTGTTGTCGGGCTACACAGTAAGTTGGAAAGCACATGCTTGATACTAAGTTTTGATTGAGCCGGGTGATTGTGTCGTCGGGCTTTCATGTGGCAACATTGTATTGAAGTTTGGACGTAGAGCTACGTCCGGGGTCCGCACCAAATAATGGACAAATTTGTAGTCAAAAAAAAAAAAAATCTATGCACATTAAAAGATATTATTTATATTAAATTATCATATTAAATCATAAATATAATATTTGTAGAATAACATTATAATGATTTGCTTTCCATAGAATATAGAAGTTGCAACGAAGACCCCTCTTACATATAAGTGTAAAAGAGTTCATGCATGATCTATAGTTTAAATAACTCATTTTGTTAAAATTTACTAGCTTAGCAAGTGTGTTCAGTGCATCAAAATCTAAAGTTTATCCAACATAGACCACAATATGTTCCCTCAGAAAAAATTTCTAAAAAATTAATCACTTGCAACTCATAAATAATCAATATGGGCAAGCCGCTACAAACCCTA